CTGGAAGTCTGTTTCCTTCGCCAGATTGGGGAAGCTCCCCTTCATTACTTTTTCAAGTAAGTTTTCAATTTCTTGCTCTTCCTCTTCTACTTCTGGCATCCCTATGATTCGGGTGTTGGAACGTTTAAAGTTGTCCCAGAGGTCCTTAGGCCTCTCCTCATTTTTTTGAATTCTTATTTCTTCATTCCTTACTGGTTGAATGTTTATCTCCTCCTTCCGCTCCCAGTCGTTGATTTGAGTCCTGGTTTCCTTCCCTTCACTGTTGGTTCCCTGTACATTTTTCTTTATTTCACTTGCATAGTCTTCACTTTTTCCTCCATTTTGTGACCATACTCACCCATTTCTGTGAGCATCCTGACTACCATTGTTTTGAACTGTGCATCTGATAGGTGGGCTGTCTGTTCATCACTTAGCTCTATTCTGGAGCTTTGATCTGTTCTTTCATTTGGGCCCTATTTCTTTTGTCTCAGCGTGCCTGTTATGTTGGAAGGGGCGAAGCCTTAGGTATTGGCCAGGGCGGGGCAACCCAGCTTGCTGCATTATGACACTGTATGTGGGTGAGGGGTCCAGGAGGGAGCAATGCCACTTGCTCGGCTCTCGGCGGGCTTTCAGCCACTTCCCCTGCTACCCACAAGCAAATCGGGCGCTTCTAGCGCTGATTCCCAGGTGGGTGGGTTTGTGTACATTCTAGGACCCTGTGGGTCTCTCCAGTGAACTCTCCTGTGAGGCTGGCAGTTTCTCCTGCTGCCGCAACCCCTGCAGATTTTTATAGCGAGAGGTTTTGAGGCTTTCTTTTCCAGCACTGGAACCCTGGATTGTGAGGTCTGTCTTGCTCCCCAGCTGTTCCCCACAGTTTATCTGCATGGAAATGTGGGACTGCCCGGACCGTCAGCTGCTGTCTTGCCACGTGTCCTTCCCCTAACTCCTACCAGTCTTGATGAATGTTTCTTCTTGAACTCCTTGGTTATTGGACTTCCATACAGTTTGATTTTCTGGCAGTTCTCATTATTTTGTTTTTAAATTTGTTGTTGTCTTTTTGGTTGTGTGAGGAGGCAAAGTATATCTTCCTATGCCTCTGTGTTGGCCAGAAGTCCAGAATTTACATTCTTTTCAAGTGCACCTGAAAGATGTTTTAGGGTAGACCCCATGTTAGGACACAGAATGAGTGTCAATAAATTTAAAAAGATTGAAATCATATCAGGCTTCTTCTCTGGCCATAATGATATGAAACTAGAAATCAGTCACAAGAAAAGAGAAAACAAAAAAAAGAACATACAAACACATGGAAGCTATGTAACATGTTACTAAACAATGAATGGGTAAACAGTGAGATCAAGGGAGAAATCAAAAGACATGAAACAAATGAAATACAACAATCTAAACACAACAATCTAAAATCTATGGGACACTAGGAAAGCGATCCTAAGATGGAAATTTATAGCTTTACTGGCCTATCTCAAAAAACAAGAAAAGTCTCAAACTAACTTTACACTTAAAGGAACTAGGTTGGGGCAGGGGGCAGAAAACAAAGCCCAGTTAAGCGCTGGTCAGGCCTCAGTTCTCTTATCTTTAAAATCAGGATAATGTCTACCTTGCAGGATTGTGATGAATAAAGGAAATAATGTTCCTAATAAACTGGTACACAAGCTTATCATCTATTTGCAAGAGGACGTGAAAAGTTGAAGAAACTGTTTTTGTTTTAACTTTTGGGCTGGAGAAGAGGGGATTTTGGCAGTGAGGGATGATAATGAAGGCAGGAGTACCTACTGTTTGTTAAATGTCAGATAAAGTGCCAGCCACCATGCTTGACAACATTGGTATATACCATCTCCATTTAATCAGATTTGGCATTAAAGACTTTTGTGCTATTGTAATTTATACATGCTTAACAAAGATTTTTAAAGCACATACTCTGTGCAAAGCAAAGTTCTAGGCAGCATAGCAAATACCAGGAAGAATCATACATGATCCCTGTCCTGAAGTAATGGAGACAAATCCGTACTCAAATATTTTAAAAAGTAAAAGGCAGTATGAAGAGGAAGGGCAGATGAAGGGGACTAGCACTAGCATGGTAAGAGGAAGTCTTCATGTGGGTGCAGTGAGTTTATATAAACCAGCCTTGGGTGCTTTACATGAAACATTGCTGTTAATGCATCTGCCACTGCTCTTTAGTGAGGCTACCTTCAGTGACTGGGCATGGTTGGGTCTGCAGGCCAGAGGACATGCAGTTCCATTTATCTTTCTCTCTACTCCAGAGTTGTAGGGCTTTACAGCCAGCTATCACTAGCTAAGAGGTAATTCGACATGATGTTGTAGCAGCCTTAAATTTTCGAATATGTGGTTTTATATAATGCCTTCTTTCACTCACCCTTTATCAGGCAGTTAGGCTTAAAATCCACAGCTTTCTAGTATGCTTCTCTTGTTCCACTTAACTTAAAGTTTTACACTTTAATTCTTGTTTACTTTAATGAATGTTAGTCCATGTAAATGTGCAAGGGAGGACTGGTGCCAGTGTGACAGGACATGAATGATGATTTTCCATTTACCTGGAGATTGGTAATTAATATAAATATTTTAGATCTGACACTTCTGTTTCTGTTGGATTTTCTTAACATTTTTACAGGTTTTGGCAAATGAGCTTCTAAAATTAGTATAAATGTATATCCAGGCAAGCTGGTATATCTGTTTACTGTTATGTTTCAATTTTTATGGTGGTCCCTCATTATCCCCAACTCAAGACTGTGTCTAAAGAACTTGGTATATGCTTTTCTAGCAAACAATTGAAAGTTCTCTCAGTCCATGAAAGTGGTAAGTCACCTGGTGTACTTGTGAGTCTAATAGGGCACAACTTTTTTATGCTGTGTTTCCAAAAGATTGGGGTAAATATAGAACTACTTTGTGACTCAGGTTTTAAAAAAGGTGAGTAGATTTGGTGGGACATTTAAACCAGGTCATGTGTAGTTTGTCCTTGACCTAGGAGACCCTCCAGAAAGTCTCAGAGCTGTTTGGGGCTGGATTACCATTATGGTGGTCTGTTGGAATAAGAAAGATTGAACTGACAGGTGTTTTTGCCTATATCCATAAATTCCATATCCTACTTTAAATTGTACACATATGAGGGGAAGGAATATATTTTGGCTTATTTATTGATTAACTATTGAATCTTTGCTGTTTATAAAAAGCTGAATAATAAATATGAATCATATAGCATTTTGCCTTTAAGGAGTTTGGTCTTATTAGGGAATTAAGATATGTGCATAATTTGCTATAATCTAAGTTAAAAAGTGAAATGTACCACACAAAGGTACAAGTCATTGTCAATAGGATTCTGAGGAAAAAGTGATTGCTGTCATTTAGTGAAGAAAGGTGGGCAGAGACTGTGATGTGAAGGTGGAATCAGGGTCAGCAAATTATCACAGATTCCTTGAGTAGGGGGATGGAAAAATTTGGTAGAATTTGGACGTATAAAAATATAGGAAAAAGACCATGTAGAAAATAGGAATGATACTGAATAATGGCATAAAGATAAAATTTCTTGTATCTTCTTCAATAAATGACCCTATTTTCACATTGCATGGCTGGATACTTTCTGGACAGACCTATGTACACAACATTGCTTCTGATCAAGGAATTCACTTCACAGCAAGTGAAGTGTGGCAATGGACCCATGTTCATGGGCTTCACTATTTTCCACCACCCTGAAATGGCAGTCTTGATACAATGATGGAATGACCTTTTGAAAGACTCAGTTACAGTGACAACTAGGTGATAACACCTCTCAGGGTCTTCCAGAAAACTTTATATGCTCTAAGTCATCATGCAGTACATAGTACTTTTTTTCTCATATGCAAGATTCACAGAGTCAGGAATCAAGAGTGAGAAACTGTTTCCACTCTGCTTGTGCTCTGCTGCCTCAGAGGCCTTAATTCCAAAGGGAGGAATGCTTCCACCAGGCAGCACAATGATTCCATTCAATTAGAAGTCAAGACTCACCTGGCTACTTCTGTTCCCTCATGCCTATGAATCAGTGGCAAAAAAAAAGGAGTTACTGTGCTGTCTGGGGTGATTGATCCTGATTCCCAAGGGGAAATTGGAGTGCTGCTCTGCAATGGAATAAGGAAAAATATGTCTGGAGTATAGGAGATCCCTTCTGGTGTCTCTTAGAACTGTGCCCTGTGACTAAGGTCAGTGGAAAACTGCAAATTAATGCAGGCAAGAATACTGACAGCCCAGACCCTTTGAGAATGAAGGTTTGGGTTACCCCATGAGGTAAAGAACACATTCAGCTGAGGTGCTTACTGAAAGCAAATGGTATTGAAAGAAAGTAGTTATAAATACCAGCTATCACCACGTGACCAGTTACAGAAACAAAGACTGTTATTATCATGGGTACTTCCTCCTTATTTTGTTTTGAACATTTTGTGTGTGTGTTTCTCAAGTATCTTTGTTTTCTTCCATCTCAGATCCCCTTACTACCTAACATAAGATGTATTGACTTTTTATCATAGTATTTAAGCATTGTTAATTTATATCCTGTATTTAAGTTATGAGATATCAAAAGATATAAACATCGCCTAAGGATATAAACATCACCTAAGAACTTTGATCCTCTTTTGGGGAAGGGCTTAATCCATTTTTTGTTGTATGCAGGATAGTTGTATCCTGTTAAATGGAAATGTTACCTTGTAATTGTCTAATTTCAGGGATGAGTGTTTAAGGAGTTGTATCTGAATGCCAAGTTGACAAGGAGTGGACTTGTGATGATTAAGTTTATGAGTCAGTTTGATTGAGCCATGGGTCATCCAAATATTTGATCAAACGTTATTTTGGGTGTTTCCATAAGTGTTTTTAAATGAGATTAACATTTAAATTGGTAGACTGAGTAAAGCAGATTGCCCTCCCTAATGTGAGTGGGCCTTATCTAATCAGTTGAAGGCCTTACAACTAGAACTGTAAAATGTGTAGTCATCTCCATTAACTCCCTTTTTTAATGTTTCTAGGTTATTGAATCATTGGGAATTATTATTTATAAAGCATTGGACTATGGTTTGAAGGAGAATGAAGAAAGGGAACTAAGTCCTCCCCTGGAACAGCTCATTGATCACATGGCCAATACGGTAGAAGCAGATGGTAGCAATGATGAGGGTTATGAGGCTGCAGATGAAGGCCTGGAAGATGAAGATGAAAAGAAAAAAATCTCAGCCATCCGCTCATATAGAGATGTCATGAAGGTAAAGCAGCAGTTTACGTAGTACTTGTTTCTTTCGAGAATTATTTCACATTAAAAAATTGGTGATTCAGCACTTGATAATAATTCCTAGACATTTAGCTGAAAGTGAAATGAAGCAGGAACTAAAACACTCTCAATGCTGTGATTTGTTCAAAGCTGTAATATGACCTTTTAAAAATCAATTTTAGATACTATGTTCTTTATCATTACAGTTTGCCTTCAACTGACTTATGCATTTTCCTTTTTAAAATGGCATAAACAACTATGATCCATTTACTTATATGAAGATTCTGAATCTGAACTGATTCAGCTGATTATTTTCCTTTGCTTTCTTGACCTACCCAGTGCTACTTACGTGTAATGAAACAAGTTCTGTAGCTTAGAGTTTTTCCTCTTTAGTTAAGTTTTCCTATGTACTCAACAGCTGTAATTTCTGCAATGCTACGTGCACAGAGATTAAAATTAAAGCAGATTTATCAAATTAGTTTTAAAAGAGCATTCTGTTTAAAATTATTTATGCATGATGTTTACTAGATTTTGTAAGCAGTATTGGCTATATATCACTTATTCTCCAACTTTTCATAAAGAATTTCAGAGACAAAAGAAAGGAACCATGTAGACAGTACTTCTTGAATATACAGCCTAAGTCTTGCTCCTTCTTAGATAATAAATCTCTCAGGAACTCTGGAATGGGACTATACAGTTATGATTCTTACAAAATTCAGATATATTCTTTAGTTATGTTAATACCCATAACCAAACAGCATATAGAGGTAAAATACCCTCATATATACACATAGATAGATAGATAGATAGATAGATAGATAGATAGATAGATAGATATGTCACACTGTATGCATTTTATTTTTTCTGGATGTTAAGGAATATTTAAAAAAATATATATATATATACACACACACTTAAAGGCCAAATAAAACTTTCTGTAGACACAATGACCTACGTATTCTCTGTAGACCAATGATATATAGTGATTAAAAGTGAAGAGTAAAAGATTTTCCACTAAGGAACAAAACTGCTTACACCTCTAAAACCAAGCTAACCACTTTTTTGGTAGTGGGTGTGTGGAGAGGGTAGGAAGGGTTGGTAAACAAGGAGTGGTGAAGAAGCAAGGGAACACCTACCTAAGCCACTGTATCAATTAAATTAACCCTAGCACCAATAGGATGATAGATGTCATAGCCAGATTGCTCTCTTATACTACATCCTTGGAAGATACGGGCTAGAGATTCATTGGACTCCTACAATTCTTATTCAGTGGTATTAAATATACTAACTTACAAAACAAATTTTTGGGTATTAAGTAATTAGAACTGATCATTTTTATTTTGTGATATTATTTTAATTTGATCTGCTGTGTCTGCCCTCTTACTGCTATTGTAATATGAAAAATAATAATTAAGAGAGTGTTTAAAAAACAGTTTATATAGAGTGGAGAAAAATTGCAAGTATACTAGTTCAGTTACATTTTTAGGAAATTTGTTAGAAACTATCATATCATCACCTCTTATTTTTTTCTATTCTAACCCAAACTGATCAATAAAAATTTCCACATCTATAACAATATATTCTGAACTTTTAACTTCAGTGAAGTGAGATGAAAAATAACTGCTGAAACATTTGACATACTGAAATTTTAAAGTATCATAAAATCCATTATTTATGGCCATATAGTGACACAAATGAGTTTCTGATTTTGTTAGTAGGTTGAAATATGCAATTAATGAAGTGAGTCTTTGTTTACTTTGTTGGAGAAAAGGAAAGAATTAGCTGAAGAAAACTGCTTTCTCTTTCTTGGAAATGGAAATGTAGAACTAAGACTGAGTACTATAAATAATAGAATATTTAGGAAATTGGAGACAATTTGTTTTCAATTTTTAGTGAGCAAGACCTCTTTAGTGTGCACCTTTTTCCCTGAATAGTTATTTGTTTCTACTGATCTTTTAATTTTATGTTTTAATATGTCATGTTATAGTTGAAAAGTGCTTTCACATCCATTGTGATCTGAGCATTATAACTCTTATGAGATAGATTGCGTAGGCATTTTTATACCCACTTTACAAATGAAAGAATTGAGGCTTACAGGTGTGTGACTTGTCCCATTTTATAGAACTGAGAGAGAGGAAGAGTGGATAATGTGATTAAATTCAGAGGCTTATAGTCAGGTAGGAGTTACACTGAAACCCTGGTTTTGCTATTTTCTGTACCATGTTACCCTGGATTATTTAATCATGGGATCCTTATTCTTCTGTAAAGTGAGAATAATATTTGCTTGATTGAGTTCTTGTGCAGATTAAATTAGATGGCATAACCAATATCAACTGTAGTGCTTGTTGTGAATAAAAATTTAATAGTATTTACTATATACCAGGCATTTTTCTAGGTGCTAAGGACATAGCAGTAAACAATATACAAATGATCCCTATCTTTATGGTTCTTAATTGAAATGAAGAAAAACAATGTAAACAAGTAAAGCATAAACACATACAGTTTTTTTCTCACTTATTACAGGGCTTTTTGACACATAGATCTGAATAAATTGCAGGCACAAATTTATGTCAGAGGTAGAACATATTTTTCCCTTAAATTAATATTTTCCTTTTAAGTACTTTCTAAGAAATACATATGACTAAGTGAAGTCTTTCAAGTAGCATTAATAAAAGATCACTCTTAAAAATTATCTTCAGATCTTTAATATATCCTCGAAAAGATTCATTCAATTAATATTAATCAAAAAGAAAAGAGATTGTAGACATGAAGTACACAGTGGTGGTGATGGCCAGTAAAGTGTACAGGAAAGGAAGATTGCAAGATTAAGAATGGTGGAACAGTAGGGCATAAGGCAGTGGACAGTTAGGGAGAGTAAATGAAATGGTGTAGGATCTATAAAAAGTGTTTGGGAAATGACTGAAATTACTATAAGATTAGTACATAAACAAAATTCTTCATTTGAGAGGAATGTAAAAGTATCAGCTTATTTATGCACTCATTTACCCTTTCAAATATTCAGGAAGCATTTAGTGTGCCTTTTTGTGTGCCGAGTGCTCTATCAGGCTCTTAGGTTGCTGAGATGAACTTAACTAGGGTTAAGTGATCCCCAGTGAGATAAAAATTACAGATCAGGTATGTAGGACCAACCTTGCCTATATACTACCTTTGTGAAAATTGGAAATAGGCTTTCCTTCTTCAAGATACTTTATTTCCACCTTTAAGAAAATTGTTGTAGTATAAATTTGCAAGATCTGATACATGCAGGATATAATTCTAGATGTAATACCCTTATGAACAGTCTGAAAATATGGAAGTGGCAGTCCAACACATGCACATGAGATGCTTGGAGAGCACAGAGAGAGGCACTGAACTCCTTTAAACAATCCAGTCCCCCTAATAATAAGGGAATGCAAATAAAGCAATACCATTTGCAACTCTTTTGCAAGGAATAATATACTTTTGTTGAAATTTGAAATTACAGTAATTTTTTTCACTCAGTAACTGATAGCTGCAATGTAAATTTACATAGTCTTTTATAAAACAATATGACAGTATATTAAAGAGTCTAAAAACTCTTCACTATGTATAATAGCAAAAAGCTAGAAATAACCTAGATGTCCATTAAGAGGGAGATGGTTGAATTAAGTATGATACAGCCAATCAGTGGATTGCTATGTAGCCATCAAGAAGATTGAGGAATGATCTCCAGGATACTGTTTACATTGGGGGGGGGGCGGGGGGGGGAATGTAGAAAAGTATATACAGGGTGCCAGCATTTACCTAAGAAAAAGTATGGAACTTCTGGTCAAGATAGGAGCATAGGTAAACATGGCTCGCCTCCTCTCACAACCATCGCAAAAATTACTACTAAACTAAAGAAAATAGCACCCAGAATCGTCAGAAAATTGATCTGTATGGAAGTCCAGCAACCAAGGAATTAAAGAAGTCACATTCATCCAGACAGGTAAGAGGGACAGAGATGTGGAGACACAAAACAGGCAGTCTCACACCCACATGTAGTTAAAAATCAGGAGGGATACCTTGGGAGCGATGGATCCTAAACCCACACCAGACCACCTAGCCCAGGGTTACAGCACCAGGAAGATAAGTACCCGAAACTTCTGGCTATGAAAATCAGTGGGGATTGGAGTGGCTGAAGAAACTGCAAGATTCTCAGGAGTCTCTTCTTAAAAGGCCTTCAAGGAACTTAGGATCTTCACAGACTCACTTTCTCTGAGCTTCAGTACTAGGGCAGCAGCTGGAAGGGCACCAGTGGCTACAGGGAGAAACTGAAGTGTCTGGCACCAGGACAAATGCGAGAGGACACCTTCCTCTTGGGCAAAACTCCAGAGGCCTGACAGCAGCATTGTCCCTTTTGTGAGTCCTCCCTCACACAGGGCCACAGAGGAGCACACCATCTTAGAGACTCCATCAATCTAGGCACACAGGTTATTCTACCCTAGCGATTACCTAGGACTCTGCCCCATCCAACTTACCAGTCAGTACACTTTTCTACAATAGGCCATGCTACTAAGACATGGAGTCAGAGCAGCTCTACGTAATACATAGAAACAAACGCAGGGAGGCTGCCAGGACAAGGAGACAAAAAAACATGGCCCAAATGAAAGAACAGATAGTAACTCCAGAAAAAGAGCTAAACAAAATGGAGATAAGCAATCTACCAGATGCAGAGTTCAAAACACTGATTATTAGGATGCTCAAGGAACTCATTGGGTAGAAATGAAGATTACACTAAGTGAAATGAAGAAAAATTTACAGGGAATAAACAGTAGAGTTGATGAAGCCAAGATCAGATCAACGATTTGGAACATAAAGAAGAAAACAACACAATCAGAGCAACAAGAAGAAAAAAGAATCCAAAAAAACAAGAGTAGGGTAAAGAGCCTATGGGACAACTTCAAACGTGCCACCATTTGAATCATAGGAGTGCCAGAAGGTGAAGAGAAAGAGCAAGAAATTGAAAACTTATTT